CGCGGCCCACTGTCCCAGGCGACCTTGTAAAGCATTGGATCTAAGCAATCAAGCCAGTGTGGAATGTTGCATCAACACTCGGATCAGTCTCTCGACCAAAGTATTATAGTTGAGATCCAGTATCCGCAACAAAGCCAACACCTCCTTCTCTGCGATCCCGTAGTTTAACTTGTTGGACTTCAACATCACTGGATAGTAAACCTGATCATATTCTTGCATGAGTGCACCGGAGATCGCTCAATCACTGGCATATACAACCACCACAGCTTGCCGATCCGGATCGAAGTGACGTAGGATCGGTGTTTACGCGATCTTCTCTTTTAGCACCTTGAAGGATCTGTGAGCATGGATCCACCGGGGATCCAGATCCGCAAGATAGTCCTTCTCGGGGCTCGACGCCTCCACACAATCAGGCGTCTGACCCTGTGACCCTAAATTCGGATCTTGATCGCTAAGTTCGGGATCCGAAGGTTGCGGACTTGCCGGATCCTTGGTCAACATGCCTGGATCCGGGGATTCCGATGCTAGTGCTAGCTGGATCTGGCTTCGATTCATGCCCATCTCCATCGCAGTATAATCGATCTCCCTCAACTCATACAGCACAGACGCGTAAATCGCTTAATCTTCGATGAAACGACTGTAATAATTCAGGCTTCCCAAAAAGGATTGTATGGCACGCAGGGATCCAGGAAACTCGAGATCCGTCAACGCCGACAGATCCTTCGGATTGCCTCCAGTCCATTGTGCGATACCTTGTGACCGAGATATTCCACCTTGGGCATGCCCCAAAAACTCTTGACAACGCTGATCGACAAGTTCCATTTGTCGCACGCCTCCAGTAGATCTTCAACTCGGTCGCATAACTGATCCCAATTATCCGCTGGCACTAAGATGTCGTCGATGTAGGATCTGCGTCCTAACACCGATGGCTTTCCCGGATCCTCAGGTTCTCCATCTTCGAATACATCTAGACGTTCCAAATCACCTGCCATTTTCGGAATCCGAGTGAATCCATACAGAGCATTGTCGATCATCCGCTGGTAGATCTGCGGCGCATTCTTCAGCCCCAAAGGCATCCGATTCCACTCGAAAAGCCCAAATGGGGTAATAAAGACCGAGATCAGGCGGGCCCGATCCGTCATCTTCGCCACCCAGAATCCGATCGCCATATCCAGTGAGCAATACCATAGCGTAGACTCGAGATCCTCCAGTAGATCGTTGATCTGCGGCATCGGGTAAACCATCAGCTGCGTAAGACTGTTAACCAGCCGATAATCAATGCACAATCGTATCGAATATCCACGCCATTCTTCTTGCTGATCACGACGATCGGCGATGCCCATGGAGATCTTGAGTGGTTGATCATCTTAGCTGACAGGAGACCGTTGATCAGCTCTGCCAATTTCTCCCGGAACTGGATCCGCAGTTTTCGACACTTAAGCGCGATCGGCCGAGCTCCTCCCACATCTATATCACACACAACCCCTTGGGCCGCTGGTGGAAGCGCATTTCCTTTGCCGATCAGGAGATGTCTGAACTTCCAGATCCGCTGGCGGAGTCGGTCGATCTCTTCAGACGTCTGATTGTCGGATCCGCACAATTGGATATCCTCGATCCTCACATCTTCCGTCGTTGCTGGGACTTCAGGCAGTACCGCTAGCTGTCCGTCGACATCTTCAGCGTAGAGATCGCTGCCTTCGTGGTAATACACATATTCGTCGTAATCCTGATCCTCGTCCCAAGTAAGTTCCAGATCCGATGTGTTCGGTTGATCTTTCAGAACAGCTGCCGAATCCTCGTCCCTTTTCTGTGACATAGACGTCACATATCTGTGACATAGACGTGACGTCCTTCTGGTCCAACGGGTCACCCAACTTATGGCTCGTCCCAGATTCTACGTCGCCACCTTCGGATCTTGGACTTCTTGAACTGGTGGATCTTGATCCGCGCTGGTTACACCACTAGGGGCTTCCTCTGTCAATCCGTTTCCACGGCCGGATCCTCGACCAGGGGCAGATCCGCTGTTGTAATGTCTGATACGCCTGGATCCTGATCATCCAGCGCCTTCATGACCGTTACAACATGAGACATAAAGTCGTCATCTGCGATAGACGACAGATCCGACCCATCACTTGCGACAGACGCCACCTCCAACGGTCGACAATCCAGCGGCGGATTGTCCGACGGCGGATTATCCAAAGGCGGGTGGTCAGGGACCTCTTGGTCCCCACTTGATCCGCCCTTCAGACACTTGATCGCCGTCGGCCTTGGTCGTTGCAGTATTTCGCGCGGAGTTTCATACTCG